ATGTCCCTTTAAATGTTAATGAGCTCTGCTCACCCGCCTCTTTCTTCCGTGGAAGAGCAAAGGCGATTTGCAAATAATCATCAAAAATATAAAGTGTCAGACTTACTTCTTCATGAGGTGCAGCTGGATCACGAACAATGTGTACTGATCTATCCTTGAGTTTTAACTTTTTAACAAAACCTGCCTTGAATTGTCCCTCATTCAGGAAGCAGTCTGGAGTAAAATTATTTGCGCAGACAAACGAAATATATATTTCACAATATTTACGTTATATACACTCAAAATATATTTAGGCCTATGTAGGATTTATGGTTTTGAACTGTATAGCCTATAAAATTGCCATTAATTTGGATTACACAGTTTTAACATAAAGAAACTAATAAACTTGCCATATTTTAACCATGTTCATACTGAATAAATATCGATAAATATTAATAATAAAAAAGCTGACATGACAAAGAACAGAGTTATGCTGATTTCAATTTGAATGAATGCATTTTAAAAGTATGATTATTTAAACAAAATCAAATACATGTAAATAGCTACTAATAAACGATGCAATTAAATATTACATTTATTACCTGTGTCATTTATGTATGAAAAAAAATGCTTATGTTTATTGGTTTATTTATGTTAAAACAGTACAATCCAAATGCAATTCAAATACATAACTCTAAAATGTAGGCCTAAATAGTTTTTGAGTATAGTTTAGTTTTAACCATACGCACAAATAGTCAAAACATACCAGGGAAAAAAACAAAAAAAAATAGAAAAAACAGATAAATAATATTATATGGTAAATAATATTTATATGAATACATTTTATATATAGTATATTAATTCATAAATACCAATAGGTAAATTAATATATATAGCAATATATGATATAATCCGTGTTTTCTACAGTATACATATATATTTAAAAACCATCCAACACAATGGAATGTCCATTAACATTCTGCAAAATATGAATCCTCAGTAAAAGTAGACAATTATCCATATGGCAACTGTGAAAAAGCGACTGCCCCCATAAATCAACAAAAATTTGTATTGTTAATTAAATTTAGGAGGCTGAACACAGGCAGCCTTTTCTGCTGAGTTTAAATCGCATATATATTGAACCATTCAACCAGAGAGAAGTGCCCACCTCAAAGGTACACAATGCAAAAAAAATAAAAAAATAAATAAAAATAAAAAAATGTCAAAAAATCCAAAAGATAAAATAAAGTTGTTGAGATATATCAGTTTGGAAAGGTTTAGAAAGTCATTTCAAAGGTTCTTGGACTCAACTGAACCACAGTGTGAGTCATTGCCTTCAAATGGAGGAGGCTCGGAGTGGTGGTGAACACACATAAAAGTGGCCAACATGCCAAAATTTCTCCAAGGGCATCGCGGCAGCTCCTCTGAGAAGTTTCAAATAAATCCCAGAATATGTTTTCAAAGAACTGCAGATATCTCTAGCATCAGCTATAAGGTCAATGTTCACGACTTATGAAGGGAACAATAAGAAGAGTTGCAAGGCGAGAACCACTGCTTGCCAAGAAGAACATCAGAGCTCATCTCATGTTTGCACCTGGATGATCCCTGGATGAATTCTGGGAAAATATTCTATGAATAGATGAGTACAGCTAATACAGCATATAACTGCAAGAACAGCATACAGTAGCCTATCTAGTGAAACATATAGTGACAGCTTGATTCTATGCGGGTGTTTAGCTGCCTTGGGAACTGGATGAGTTGTTATTACTGCAGGAAGCATAAGTTATGTTTTATATCAGGCAATTCTTAAGGAGAATATCCATCCATCTGTGTGTAAGCTGAAGCTTAAGTGTAACTGGGTGATGCAGTCAGACAACAAATCAAAATGCAGAAGCAATTGCAGATCTGAATGGCTGAAAGGAAACAAAAATGCAAATTATGGAGTAGCTTAGTCATGTTCTGACCTGACCTGTGACCAATGGTGTTCTGCAGTATCTGTGTGTGTGTGTATATACTGTGTGTGCATATATATATATATATATATATATATATATATAACACCATTGCACAATTGTACTTGTTATTCCTACGTACAGTATCTTGGTTTTCTTGGACATTAAGTCAATACTTTAAAACAGTAATAACAATTGATTATCGCAGAAGCCCTGGATTTAGTTTGTTGTTTCCTTGTCATCATGATGTAAACCCGGGCAGATATCTAACTATAATGTCAGCATGTGAAGCAGCAAAAAGAAGGATAACACTGTCACCAGAGTGAAAGGACTACATGGGACAAGGGCAGCTGCCAGCATCATAACTTCACAGGGCATTAATTGTTTCACTGCTGTCAGCAAGATTGTCTCTGCTCGTTGAACCCTGGCCAAGGAGTGGTCCATCAGCCAAATTGGAGTAGGTATGTAAGTAAGAGTTCCAGGGAAGGATGTTTCGCAATACAGACCTAGGTGTCAAACTCAATTTCTGAAAAAGTGCTGAGGCCAGGTAGATCTCTGAGCCTCTGGTAATATTCACAACAGCGACACGAAATGCATAACTGACATTTATACATACTTACAGAATGACAGCTTGCTCAACAACTGAGCAGAGAAAGTTTTTATTGTTCATAAAAATGTATGCAAATTAGTAGATTAAATTTTTGCTTGCTGGGTGAAAAAAAAGGCAAAAATACAGATTTACATTGAAGCAGCAACACTGGGGCTATTAATTGCATAGCCAAGTGCTAAAAAAAAAAAAACATGCTTAAAGGAATTGTTCTGCCAAAGATTTAAATTTACTCACCATCAGGCCACCCAAGATGTAGATGAGTTTGTTTCTTCATCGGAACAGGTTTGGAGAAATGGGTGCCGTCAGAATGAGAGTCCAAACAGCTGATAAAATCAACACAATAATCCATGCATAATCCATGCAACTCCAGTCCATCAATTAATGCCTTGAAGTGAAAAGCTGTGTATATAATAAACAAATCCATCATTAAGACATTTTTGACATCAAACCATTGCTTCTGGCTAAAATACAAGTCTGCTCTATCCATAATACTGCTTTCACCAGTGAAAAAAGTCATCTAATCTGAATCAGAAGAGACATATGCACAGATCAAGCAATGTTAAACAAGTGAAAGCAGAAACAGTTCCAAAACAGTTCTAAACAAGTGTGAAAGTGAAGTGATGTGTGGCCAAGTATGGTGACCCATACTCGGAATTTGTGCACTGCATTTAACCCACCCAAGTGCACACACACAGTAGTAAACAAACACACACCGTGAACACACACCCGGAGCAGATATCTCTGCAAACAAAATCCAACAAACAAATATGTTGGTGGATTTTGATGTGTGAGGGCAACAGGGAATGGACTTTTTTTCACTGGAGGAAGTGTTATTATGGAGAATGGATTTTATTTATTTATTTTTTTGGCCAGAAAACTACAGTTTAAAGTCAAAATGTCTCAATAATTGATTTGTTTCTTAGAAACACTGCATAATATGTTAATTGATGGACTGAAGTTGTGTAGATTGCTTGTGAATTATTGTGGTTGTATCAGCTGTTTGGACTCTCATTCTGACGGCACCCTTTCACTGCAGAGGATCATTATTAAGCAAGTGATCTTTTGGATGGCCTGAGGATGAGTACATTTTCAGCAATTTTTCATTTGTATGGTGAACTATTCCTTTAAGCAACAGCAGTGATGAGGGCATCTACCAAAACCCACAAAACATATTTGTGGTCATGAAGTGGATAAACCAACGTAGTCAGGAACACACTTTCTCCTGCCATGACCCCTTTCTGAACTGTTGTTAAAGACTGCAGCTGTCTGGCCTCGATTTCCAGGCAATTGTACAATTGCTGAGACTCAGTGCACAGGGATAAACTGTTCTCTTTAAAGACAGGCAGGGAATGTTAGAAACACAAGCCTCTTTCATTCTTGGCAACTGCATTTCTCTCATTCAGCCATTCATATATTATATATAATATAAAATATAAATATATAAGATGGTCAGCTTCTCAGTAATTGGCTTTGCTCAATCAGTTAACAGCCTTGAGAGTTTAGGTTAAATGTTTTTGTTAACAGGCTTGTTAGTTTGAAGGGGACACTTGATGGACAGAAATTGCAGGGTTGCTCTAATGATGAAGCAGGAAATAGCAGTGCCACTCAAACGTTTCCTTGCAATGAGGACAACCACAGCCAATCAGATTCCAATCCATGTGAGAGCCCATAATTGATTAGACTGTCATTGCGGAATTCATAACAGCAATGTCAGTCAAACCCGGGGCCTTTAGGTGAGTCCAAATGAAATCTGAAATAATTAATGACATTATTTATTTGGACAAAACATAATGTCAGGAAAACAATGACTGATAAGCAGCACTGTATTCTTGTGATAGACATAGTCTTTATTTTTTTACAACACAGCTGCTACACAATTAATGTTTAGCATAAGTTTGTTCATATATGTTATACCAAATGTGAAAATCAAATCAAAACAAATTTATGAGGGAACACATGGCTGCTAAATGCTAATTATCTTATTGGTTGTGGGACCAAAACTAGCCTACATTTCCCACCATCCTCTGTGGCAGCGCGAGCATGATAAAGCACACAGATAAATCATCTAGCCTACACACCTAATATGAATAATTAAAAGGAACATAAAAGCAGGAGCCTACATAACTGTTTGGAGATTTGTGATGATTTCTCGTTGGGTCGAGGAACAGACATTAAGCCGGGTCGTTTGTTTGTTCTTTTTTTATGTTAGTCGATCTAACAGACTTGTTGTGTCACCCACTCGTTTTCCCGTGGAAATATCGAGTGAGAGTGAAATGAGCGGGGAAGAGATTGCTGCTGGATTGCTGATGTCAGTTCGCCAGAAGAGGGCATTCGGATTCTGTCTGACAAAGTTATGGTGCGACAGGCGGTTGTGGTTAACCACTCACAATCCTGCTGCATCTCTGTACTGTCGGGAACTGTACATGAGAGGAGAAACATTCCCGATGGAGTGGAGTACACTTCCAAACAGTATTCTATGAGTGCAGTAATTTTGGACAGCGTTTAAATCTTCTAAACATCATAATTCTCAGTGATATTATAATATCCACGGATTAATCTACGGTAAGCATCATCCGTTCGGGAAAGACAGTATTTGCGCAGTATGCTGCGATGGAATATAGTAATGAGACGGAAGGGGATTGCTGGGATTTCCATAAATTTGACTTGTGGTAGATAACTTGGATTTGGAATCGCGCGTCTTCTGCTCTGTTTGTGACCTAAGGTATAATTTTAGGATTTAAAACGGATTATTTCTGTTCAAGTGGATTTTTATGACGATACTTTTTTTTTGAGGGGAATTAAAAGATATGGTCAGTGCAGTGGTCAGTCAGGAGAGATTGAAGATTTCCCGCGCCTGCTCTGCGGTGGAGGACTACAGGCGGCCGCTCGTGGAAGAACCGAACCATCTGAAGAGAGCGCTTGCCATGCCGTTTCGGGTCTCGAGCGGTAGAAAGCTGTAAAACCTGTGTCCAGGAGTTGACTGAGACGCGGTGATGGGTAAGTTTGCGTATTCCCATCGGGCTTAAGTGAACATCTAAAACACGGTGGATGTTTTATGGGTTGATGACCTGTTTTTTTTTTTTGCAGTTTTATTCATTTTACAGTGCAATGTCAGTTGTCTTCAAACGGTGTCCATGCAGTAAAACTAAGAGATTGCCTGTGCTTTGATAAGCATAAAATGTTCATACATGCCTATGCATGCATTCATACGATGCTCTCTTTAATTAGTATGCATCGATTTATTTTGCATTTAAGAATCACACATAGCCTTGCTCAAATCTGACCATGCATTCACTTCAGCTCACAGTGGTATGATTCTGTTGAGGTACAGTCAAGTGTACACGTCTGTTCATTTATTCGATGGGTATTTATTCAGTGTTTTATGACCTATATATATATATATATATATATATATATATATATATATGTATGTATGTATGTATGTATGTATATGTGTATATGTGTATATATATATATATATA